GTATTGTTCCCCTCTCCTGACCAATTACACTTTCGAGGAACGTGCCAGTGAACATTACATCTAGGGACTGCTTGGCTGAGCCAGATTGTTCAGTTATTATCACGTCAAGTACCAAAACCGATGATGGCGTCTTGACCATTAGCAGATCAGACATGATCAACAGGACGACAATCTCACCATCTATTATCTGCGGTAGTGTGTAGTCAGTTTTGCCGACGGAACGGAGACGTAGCTACTGGAGCCTCTAACTACTTCAGCCTTCAGTGCCTCCGCTATCTTAACATTTTGATATTTCAGATGCGATGTTCCAGCGGCAGAATGAGTTATTAGACAAACAAAATTCTTGTTCCTGCAAATGAACATTTTTCTTCCTCTCAGAATGAAAGCATTGCACTGAACCTTCTGACAGGCTGCCAGGAAGATTCATGTATGCCTAAGCAAATATATCTGTATATTTATTTATAAGAGCCAGTGAGTTTGGCTACTACAACTGCGTATTTCTAATTCAGTTAGGAATTTGAGCTAAAACATTATTTAGGACTTATAAATGCCACAACAGTCGCAATTATTCTAATTCACTGGTAGCTCGCGAACTGAAACCAAAAATGACGTAAATGCTGGGAACGTTGCATACTCAAGATTGAGGGTCAGAATCCAGTGCTTTCATCCAGACCGATCGTCATCTGTATTAACTGTTGACACCAACGGAGCCTGCCCAAATTTTCAATCGAATCAGAGACAACAATATAACCACTGAAATTAGAGGACCAGTATACCCCTAATGGGTGCTTTTGCAGATTTGCGTAGTCCCTTCTCCCAAATATAAAAACCTCAACGAGGTCGGGGTGATATTAATACACGACCGCTGGGGCAAGGTTGGAGTACAGAAAACGCATTAAGCAGCCGTGGTACGGAGTCGGACCGGGAGCCGCCAGAATGCTCATACTAGGGTCAATATACCCGAGAGCATACTGCATGCGTATAAGAAGGCTGATAGAGTATGCTAAATGCCCAAGAAGAACTACCTAAGCAACTAGCCTAGAAACCGCCAGATGACCTAAGGACACACCAAGGATTCTCTCCCCACTGGACCAGGTGTCAAGACACTGTCAAGAAGACCGGAGGCGATGAGAGCGCAGGTGGATTGCACGGTCGAACCTGTACCTCAGCGCTTCACTCCACAACACCCTGATACACACAGTGAATGACCAGGATTTTAACTAACAACAAGCCAACAAGAGGCGTTGACGCGGCCAAATTCGCATCCAGGCATGCCGTCACGCCTAGCACGGATTCCACGGACTGTGAGTTCCATAAAGTCCTCAGTAAGAAGGAGTCCTTGCAGCTCGACTCCTAGACCACCAGCCGGCCGATCAACACTAACTGGGCTGACTGTGGGACCCGAGTTATCATGTCAGTCGGCAACCTTCCAAGCCACGACTTTTAGCGCACCGTCATAGCTTCGAGTGCGTCAGATTGTTTATAGTGCGGAATATGCGCTGACTTGTTGACCCCTTTATCCCTTCCTATTCCCAGGCCAAAATCACTGTCCGTGCCGGTCATTTGACAGGTGCTGGGTATGGTCGCGGTGGCTGACATATATAGTAACCTTGTCTGCGCACGCCGCATGCACGACATCCCTGCCACCCCCCCCCCTTCCCACCCAAACACAAGCATCAGGATTTCACACAACGGTGGCTGGGTGGCGTACATCCCACCTTCGTGAGAGTGCCTCAGGTCATCTTAAGAAGGAACCGTTTTAGCCTGGCTCTGCGCCCATAAGTCCACCACCCCAAACAGACTCATACACACAACTGGGCAGACTGCGTGGACTGAGTTGTGGCGTCAGTCGGCCGCGATGTTCGGCACTTCGTGATAGTCTCAGACTCGGACCACACATTCAGCAGAGGAGCCTCATGAAGACGGAGTCGAGGTGCACACTTCCCACTTGCGTGGGAGGTGGCATTTGGATGCTTGCGGTGGATGATGATGTTGTGTGATGCAAGTGTTGGTGGGGGAAGGTGTGTTGGTGTGGTTTAGCTGGCGGTTGTCTACCGCAGGTTCTCGTGAATGTGCATGTGGCCTAATAGGTTCATGCGGTGGGTGAATGTGCGGTTGCGGTGAGGACAGTTGAGGCGGATGCATTGGGTATATGTTGGTGCTCCAGACATTGGTTTGCCTGTCTCTCTGCGATGGATTTGCTAATGACCGACCAGGCCGATGTATGAGGTGAAGGTGCGATCGCAATGAGAACAGGTATGAATCGAGTTCGCAGCGCGAGTGTTCACTGTGGTGAGGTTGATGTTTGTCGGTATGTCAGGATTATGTGCGGTGGTGGTGGTGGGTACAGGAGCTGCCGCAGCGGATGTTCAGGCAATTGAGTGGGGAGAGGAGGAGGAGGAGGAGGAGGAGGAGGAGGAGGAGGAGTAGGGGGAGGAGGAGGAGGATAGTAGTGGGGACTCAGGCGTGCGGCCAGTGTTGATTGAGGACTTGGGGCACGAGGCAGGCGTGGACGTCGGATATCGGGTGCTGCTGTCCGGGTGCTGAAGTTGGTTCAAAGACCGACTGATGCCGGGAGTGTTCGCTGACATCGTGGGCAGGTCGGGTGTAGCTGGGCGTTGGTGTTGCGAGGCCGGGGGGCAGTTGAGATTTACGGGTTTCGTGGACCCACAAGCACACACACACACACACACAGAAAGTTTAGAACGCTCGGATCTTACATTCAGCAGATAAGCCACACGGTTACCGTTGCTAACAATTACGGCATCGGTCGCCATGTTTCCACCTTCTAGTGAGTTTAATTTCCGGCGATTATTCAGCTGTGGTAGTTCACGCGGCGTGCCAGCAAAGAGCTAAATCTCCTTGCCAATTTAATGCCGGCGCCGAGTGCTACTCAGCTTTTCGGTTTGGCGACATCGTGGCACCTATCAGAGTGTTGACTTTGGTTGAGTAATGACTGCTCAGGTGTACGCTCACACCTCGCAGGGAAAAAACAACGGCGCGGGTTAATTCGGAAATATATGTTATCTGACGGAGGCTTCCCAACCAGCAACCAAGGAGCAAAAATCCTTCAAAAGCAGATTAAATTAGTAAGACGTGGAATACTACATGTGAATATTTTTCCTTCTTCCCGGTTTGGGCTTGTTGCCGTTGATCCATCCTTGCGCGCCGCCTTTTCAACAATATTCATTCTTGAAGTGTCTCTTTTTAGAATCTTAGGGGAAAAATCATGGTACGTATCAGTTATGAATGGTAAGGTACAAAACATTTCGTGAAAATACAGGTAAAGCTTCCGGTCTTATTTATTTTAACTTTAAGAGCTACGAAACTTAATCTACTCAACGTTCTTCTTCTTTTCTCTGGTGTCGCTATAATCCAGATAATCAACAAAACCGTAAACGCAACGTCATGCCGATGCACCATAAGGTAAATGTATTCGAATTAATCTCGCGGCCTTCCATTATCGCATATTTCATGTGCAAATATGGAAGTTAGGTGCATAATGTGCGGCGGGTGGGTTGGCAACTATGTCTTAATGATGAACACCTTTGAGCAACTGAATACTGCTCCTACACACCGGCGCTCTCTCTATCTCTGTGTGTGTAGCTCTGGTTTGCGCATTCGTCTTTGCATTAAGGCGGCTCCTGAATTGTTCGTAAATGGGGGGAAGTTTGGCCTGTTTTATGTGCCTGGCCTGTAATGTACTCTGCGGTATCTCATGGCAACCATACAGTAATTAATCAGCTAAGAATTAGAATGTCGGCTGAAGTCATTCATTTTTTTCCCAGAACCGAGGCGCACGTTTGCAAATTAGCCTAATATGTGTATTTGTCCCAGCTTCCCTTTGGCCCTATCAGAGTGACGCAGAAAACTAGGATCGAAGCAGTTGTTTTAGAATTTCGGCGAACTTTTGAAGTCTTCTGTGCGCAAGTTTCACACTTCTTCGGGCCGGCGTAAAGTGATTTAATGTTTTTTAGGCAGGGGAGTGATCACTGTTCTTTTGCTCAGTGATTCATTGTATATCGATCAGGGAAGCAGGGGAGAGAGCGATGCTTTCAGTCGACTTCAATTCTGATTTCTTCAGTAACTTTCTCCCAGAAGAGGCTGAAAGCCAATCCAATCGATAAACTCACCGAATTGACGCGTGAGATAAGTGCAATGGTTCCCTGAGGCTACTTTGTTTTGAGATCACTGCGTTGTTTTATGACTGTCCACCGGTTTTAGCAATCTCGTTGCTAGGAAATTCCCCGTATAGTTTTACAGTGTCTTTAATCTTACTCTCCTGAGGTGAACTTAGAGTCGTTCAACTCCTTTATACTAGCATTTGCTATCAAAGGGAATTCGATTTATCCTAACAAACGAACAAAACGAAGAATATTGTTTTTCATTAACAAAAACGGACGACTTGCATATTCCCCACTGAAGTTCAAACTAGCACGCTTGCCCGTTACTTCGAAAAAGAGGTTGCATTAACATACTTCTGGCTGTCAATATTCCTCATCGTACGAGTTGGAAACAAGAAGCATTGACCTCATTGCCTAGCTCATTGAACTGGCGCTCCAATCCAGGCGTCGGCTACGGAAGAAAGGGAGGCGCTCAGCAACCAGGTTACGAGACTTGTTCGGCCCGTTATGCCGTTCGGTTCAATTGAAAACTCTTGTAGACGGTCACATAGCGACTATTAGCATATGAGTGAAAGTAGAAACGAGGAAGGCAAAGGGGGACTGGGGTGGCTATTTCTGACTTATTAACCTTGGCCAGCCAGCCATACTTAACCCCAGGTTGGAATGACTGCAGACCGTGAACGTAAGACAGATTCTTTATCTGTTAAGCTACTAAAATCGAGTGGACAGCATACGAGTTAACAGTTAGCATCTGGTGGCTACTGCTCCCAGCATGTTTTTATCACTAGCGCGCTTTACTATCACGTACCACCTCGATGAAAATTGCCCTACATGGTAATTTGTATAAGTCGATCTTCGTTTAATCTACTTACCCAGCTCAGCCATTGTTTAGCAGGCGAATAGCTTACCTACGCCTAAGGATACTTCCTGTTTAGACTGAATAATATGAAGCTACCCTTGTCAAGGTCCTGGTTTAGACCTCATGTCCACGCCTGCATGTTCGAAAGTGTTTTTTTGTCGAGACCACAGTCAGCAGTGGGCAAATGCTGGCGGGGACTGGCCTCGCGCATCCAGTTAACAGGACTTCCTCTTTTGTGTGAGAGCGCACCTAAGTGGATATCCAACTGCAACTGATATTTAAAAACTTCAGCTACGAAGTAGAGGCAAGCAGATTTTCTGCCCCAGAAAGAAAATGTTTCCCTCTCAGGCCTTTTGGGAGAGAGGTAATAAAAACAGCATGGATTTTAGGCCATCAGTTTAATTTAGTTGAAATCTTGGCTGAGGGGGGACGACAGGCGAGGTCTCTAAAGATAGCAGCTATGGAATGTCCAGGAACCGACCCATGTCTAAGGAGAAATCGTAATTTTTCCACTATTTGCCCAGGCAGGAAAGGCCTGATAAACTTTGATAATGTTGCTAAATAATTCTGAAAGCGACAGTTGTATCAGTGAGTAGCCGAATGTTCTTTCCAATAATTGGGTCAATCTAAATAGTTCTGCGTCCAACGAGTTTGAAGCATTTATTTGTAAAGTAGGATGATAATTAAAACCGCACGACGACTATGTGAACGAAATAGGGAACGAAATAGAAGGCATGTGTTTAATCCTTTCCTGTTAATATTCAAGTAAGGAAAACGTCATGACACCCTTGCAGCCAGCAACCAAGTATATAGCGGCGATCTTGACACCGGGTTCAGACAAAGCAAGGCTTTACTCGCATTCTCCACGCAAAGCAAATCTGCATCGTTGCCAGTATTTTGTCCTCCGCATGGACACAAACGCAGTGGACCAGGTAATCCTGGTACTGACCAAAAGACAAATGCTCAACTTTCGTAGCCATGCGGAGGCAGTTATGACTGTCCCTCAAGAGGAAGCAAAAAAAGACAAGAATGTACGATTCTCTCTGTAAAGCCCAACTATGGGCTGACAGAATGTGACGCATCAAACCGTTTTCGAATGTAGATTACACCACAGGGGTAGCTTTTTATTGAGCTCGAAGGCCCTAGTTGTCATAATTCCGGTATCCCAAACTTCAGGTTATAAATTCCGACTCACAAAAACAAAATAATCTCGGGAAAGGGAATAAATCGTTGGAAGATGAGCGACAAGGATGCTTGGGACGATTTTTCCACGTTGCAGTTGTTTGCTAGGCGGTGACAGTTAGCGTATCATTGCAACGACTTAGTTGCATGGAGATAGGAGGCACTGAGGTGCCATCGCAGACCACCCAAATATTCACTAAAGCAGAGAGGTTGATTCACACTGTTACTCTGGCATGCCACGACTGTATAAACTCCATGGAGTGCTCGAGGGAGGACTTGTAGTTAACTTAAGGACATTCCAGTCGAATCGGCGACCACTTTCAGGCGAGGCGTCTCCCATCATCGCACTCATCCACACCCTCCCCCCAAATTTGTAACCCTGGCAATCTCCACTCTTGTTTCCTTCCCCTGAGCATTTTATCGTGCTAACAACAATCTCTAAATGCTTTTAGTCGACGACGCATTGTAAATAATAGCCAAAAAATTTAAGGCTAAAATTCCAAATTTTCTGGAAGAATTTGGTCTCTTGAACCTTAGTGCAGAATGCCACAAATCGCAGGTTTATGAGATTTAATCGCTGCACGTATTCGAGCCGCAATACCGCTGAGCTACAGCATCCTTGTCATCTCTCAAGGAGTTCATTTATTTACTATGCCCGAAATATTAAATTAACTAATTAATACAGCAAAACTTAGATTACGACCTTCTACAACACTAAGCCGTAACCCGAAGTTTGATAAGGTCTTCTTGGCCAGCAACGTTCTGCATGGTGTTTTATGTCGACAAGATTTCTGTTCCTCTTGGTACTTTGTTATTTGTCCATACTGACCCTCTTAGTAAATGGCTCATTCCTCGTCTAACAATCAACCGGACATGATATAAACACCCATCCTTAAGAACGGCAGTCAGTTGACGCGATATTCGTGATCAAAATGTGTCACAAGGTGGCCGTTCTAACCTAGCTGCATTTGCCCTAGCATGGCGTAAATGCTGAGGACTCCCGTCCGTTCTAGGAATTCCGTGTCGGGGATCCTGTCTTGCCACTTCAGCCTTAGTATTCTGCCAAGGTGGCTATGATGGAAGCGATTGAGTTTCTTGCATGTTTGGAATAGACGACCCAGATCTGCTCTCCGTACAGAACTGCCCTCAGGACGACGACCTTGTAAATCTTCAGTTTGGTATTCAGTTGGAAACCGTGAAGATTCCACACGGAGTTCTGCAGCCGGACAAGGGCTTGGCAGGCTTTGGGGAGCCGGCGGGCACTTCGTCGTCGGTCCTGATGATGTTAAAAAGTGTGCTTCCTAAGTGAGAAAAATTGTCCACAGTGTTGAGTTGGCGGCCATCGACAGTGATGTGAAGAAGAGTGCAGTGTTGTGTGTTGGATGACGGTAGGTGCATGACCGCTGTTTTGTCCGTGTTGATATTCAGGTCGAAGTCAGCACATCTGGCAGCGAGGAGGTCCATGTTCCGTCGCATGTCGACTCTGGGTGTTGTGTTGAGCGTACAGTCATCGGCGAAGAGCAAATCGTGGACGACGCTCGCAGATAGCCGCGCGAGAGCCTGCATGCGCCCGTTGCTGAGAGAATGCCCGCGATGCGCATCCCGGGGCGCTCATCGCAGTAGGCGTCCATCAGCATACTTCAGCCATGACTCAAGAGGTCCCAGTCTATCAAAAAGCGCAATGACATCCCAATGTCATATTCCGTGCAGAGGCTTGGTCTGGCCAAAGTAATTGACCACTCGGGGAGCGCGCAGGCCGATGAGCCAAGTCGTGGAACCATCCTCACCGCCAACATCCAGCACGGATGATGAAATTTCAGTAATTAACAAGTTCCACCAAGCAATTCGTGCGCCAGCAAGTAACAATCCTCGATAAAGGGGAGAACGGTTGATTATCATAGATATGCAGTAGCGTAGCGACTGCACATTATAAAACCTGCAGGTTGCGTCGACTACAGTGACCAGCTCCACCACAGCGACATCACGCCTCTTCCCCACCGATAGGACGACGTTCGACGCCCCATCACCTTCAACCATCACCACCAACGCCCCCATCTCCAGCGATATGGACTCGACTAATACTTGTCTTCATTGCGATAACGCATTTACCATGCACATCGGCCTAGTCAGTCACAAACGAATCCATCTCACAGAGACTGCCGAACCACTGCCCGGAGCACCGGCCTACACTCGCCACATTCGCCTCCACTGCGCACACTGCACCCAAACTTTCATTCATCGTATGGGCCTACTAGATCACAATCATACCTACAGGAGCGGAATTCACTGCAGCCCTGACACATCTAGCACACCGTGGACAACTATCATGCCCAGCCCAATCCACAAACCAGCTCTCAGCGCGGCGAACCCCAGCGGTTCCATCACCACCGGAGCCGCCTCTGACACTCCCAACGTATTTTGCCTACACTATCCCGCAACTCACCCTACACATCGGCCTGGTTGGTCACCTGTGAATCTTTCGCAAGGGGCCTAGCGAACCAGTACCCCGAGCACCCACATTCACTCGCGGCATACGTCTTCATTGTACACATTGGCCACACACATTCATTCATCGCACGGACCTACCCGTCACATGCGTATGTATGAGAGCGGGATTCACTGCAGTATCGACCCACCTAGTGCACCATGCACATCTAAGGTGTCTTGGGCAATCAACCCTTCATCGCTCAGCACACCAGTCCGCTATAGCTCCACCACCACCGTCACCACTGAGACCGCCTTTGGCGCTCCCGACCTATCATGCCCACAATGAACCCGAACATTCACCTCACACATCGGTCTGGTCGGTCACTTGCGGATCCCTTACACGGAGACTGGCGAACCAGTGCTTGAAGCATCCACATACACTCGACGCATCCGCCTCAACTTCACATGCGCCTTCATGGAAACCTGAGGTATACAACCGCTGGCTAGAGCAGTACATCATATCTTCTCCCGCCAACACCTACACCACACAATCATACTACCCATCATCACAAAACGCAAGCACTCAACTGCCACCTCCCACGCAAGTAGGAAGACAAACACCCGTCAAACCACACCTTCCCCCACCAGCACCTGCACCACACACAACACCAGCCATCACAAGAACTCCACTGCCACCTCCCACGCAAGTGAGAAGTGTACTTCCCTACTCCTTCTCCATGCGTCCCCTCTGTTGCATGCGTGATCCGAGTTTGAGATCATTTCGGTGCGCCAAGCGTCCTGGCTTCGAAGGCTGCCGACTAGCGTCTCAACTCAGTCCACGCAGTCTGTCCAGTGGTGTGTTTGTGTAGAGCGGCGGACTGGTGGGTTGAAAGCCAGGCTGTTAGGGCTCCTTCTTAACGTGACCTCTAGCACCCCCACGCATGTGAGGGATGTGTGTATATGGGTAGTGCCTTCCAATCCATGGCTGACTGGTTACCCGACCTTTGAAGGGTGGTGGTCCAGGCTAAATGCAGGGCTGCGTCTCACCCTTCTGGGTCTTGTGCGTCTGCTATGCCATGACTCAGCCAACCATGGTCCTCGCGTCCTGGTGTGCGTTGGTTGTTCCCTATCACCTGGTTTCCTGTCGGCAGATGCGCTTGCGCCCCCCCCCGGATATACATGTCGTGTGCATGGCTGCCTTGATATCCTCCTCTTTCTGGCCCGTCTTCGTTGTTAGTTAAAATCCTGGTCAAGTGTTTGTTGCGGATCAGGGGTGTGGTGGTACGCTTAGATGCGGCTTCGGCCGTGCCAGTCATCTGCGCCCTCTCCCTTACCTCCAGTCTTCTTGACTATGTCTTGACACAGGGCCCTAGTGGGAAGGAGAGAGTGCGGTAGATGCTGCGCGAGTCTACTCACACCATAAACTTATTTGCATGCATGTCACCGTGCCTGCTCTCACCTTACTGTGGAGCACACGGTGGACATCGTCGAGCACGACGGTCGAACTGCCATTTTCATCCAGGGGCATTCCTGTTGCTATTAAGCTCCTACTAAAAAGCATAAGCATTCACCTCGTAAGCATGTTTTGACCAAATTTTCACTCATTTTAAAAGAAGAGAAGTGTCATCAAAAAGGAAACCACGTTAGGCAGCTCAGTACTTTAAACTCTGTTTTCGAGAAAGTATGTTGAATTGGGATTTGGAGGGACAAAACCTTGCCCCTCCATAACATTCCTCCCTCGCATCATGTCTACCTAAATGGCTGATCAACGTTGACTGTCGTTTATGGACTCATCCCGTTTGATCATCATAGGCCGTTCTCTTTTTAAACGGATACATTTTTAATTACGCAGTGGCCGTTAACATTTGAATAAGCGATCATGTCCTTAGATTCTGCAGGCTCCACCACTTTTGCCTTATTCACAGTTCGGCATGTTTTAGAGACTGGCGATATTGGGTCCATTATTAATGGCGGATGGCAAAGTTTGTAATCCAAGTACTTTATAAGTATTCACTTCCATTCTACAAATCTCAACACATGAAGTGTCAAAAGCAGAGTTTGTGCATCTCATCTAAAGGTCACAGGCATGATCATCAAGCATATTTACGCAAAATAAATGTAATTTTAATTTCTAAGTACAGACACCTTACGAGATTATTGACTAGGAGGTCCGTCCGTGATTTCGGCTCTTGTAAACTATCTGTGTTCATTCCTGGCTGGCACCATTAATCCCAACCAATGGTAGAAAAAAACACTTTTTAGAGGATAAGAGCACCGTCGCCAGATGTACTGCACACAAAATCATGGAAACGTATAACTTTCAAAACTTGGCTGTCTCATCAAATTGGAAATTGAAAGTGGACACAAATATTTGAATTCGTTTCTTATGGCAGTTGTTGTTATAATATATTTCGGAAGACTTAATTGAAACCGATGCATTTTCTAGAATTCGAGTTCGTTTCTAGTAATCAATTTTATTAATTAGACGCATAAATGTATAAGGTCGCAATTAATTTCGTGATTTACGGAAGGATTCGCGACAGAAAATGCGATATAAGCCTTTGCCTCCTGGTGCAATCATTGACACATAATTGGATAACTCAATGGATAAGCCACAAAGACAGTAGCAGGGCGATCATGAGATCACCCAAGTCATTTGAAGGACCGATAAACTGCTGGATCGTCGGGTATGAAATGTGTAATGAGGCCCACGGTCAAATTTAGCAGCTTTTTATTTAACATCGGTATTGTATTTTGATATTGCTTTTGTTTCCTTGCAAATAGTGTAATTAGTCACAACGTACATGGCCTAGTTTACCAATACGGAGACAGTGATTTTGGGGTTTTCAAAATCCGGCTGTACATATAGTTCTCGCATAGACAAAGACCATATTAGAAGGCAATGTGCAAAATCATGTAGGCTTTGCTTGGTAGCATATCGAAACATCAGATCTAGATTATTTAACATAACTCATGAGATCATGCAAATTTGCTAGGAAGTCCCTACAATGCAGAAGTCGTTCTATACAAAATTGCATTGTTTTATCGCATGACAGAAACAGTGTTTCCGAAAAATAAGCCCGCAGTTTTTTAAAAGCAGCATTTACTTTTCGAGAGATAACACTCAATCAAGACCGGAAATTCGAAAACGAGTATATAGCAAGTTGACAAAGTTAAGTCAGATATAACGGTGCATCGTAAAGAGACAGCATCACAACGGGGATGCAATGAAAAACAATGACATATATAGAATAGCAATAACTCGTTACTTGTCTTTTTGTATGCAATATGCTATCAAACATGGAAACAGCCAAACCGACCATGCTGACTCGATATATTTTATTAATACGAATAAAATTAATAATTCATAATGTAAAAGACCTCATTTGTCGTATCTTCTGCCAAATTATTTTGGTGGCTGCAAGGAAATAATAATAGAGATCTAGGAGGGTAGAGGTTAGCTGTTGTTTAGAAAGTACCATGTGTCGTTAGACTCTCACCACTTTCTGTGGCAAACAGATGTGTTTTTCCGGAAGATCGGGCGTCAGTGAAAGCCACTGTGACCTAGGGCATCCTTCACAATGCAGTTACTTTTGTCCGTTGTTAGCAACCAGATTGGCCAAATCTGACGACCATTCTCAGCGTCAGGCGTAGACAGTACCTGCAAGTTTTAGTCAGCGCAGCATATTTCTGTTGAACGTTCTTTCACCCTTGTTGGCCTGTCTAAAAATAAGACCTTGCCTGCGGGGTAAACGCCTTTCCAGAATAAAGGTTTGTTATTAAGATACAACTTTACAAATAACAGACGCCAGGTGAGCAGTTTTGTCCTAGAAAATAGTGTTTTTACGGTCTTCTACGGATGAGAACCACACTTTGCCATCATCTTTCCTAAGTGTGCTCAGTGAGGCGTCAACAAGTGCTCCACAGGTAAATAACTTCTACGGCCCAACAGTGAAGTTATTTTGCTATTCGACGATTAACATCGTCGTCTTGTTTGCCTTTAGACCCTTCAGCCTCTCCTCGCTTATTTGTAAGCAATGTTCAACACTGTTAATTTTGGGAATACTTCTTAACTGCACTAGCCCAAGCCCTGTAGCTGCCGATTTCCATGTCTGCCCAAAGGCGCAATTGTAATACGGATTATCTTCCGGCAAAATCCTACAATATTTCGAACTTGGCAGGATGTCAGCTTTTAAATACACTACTTTTCAAGCTCCTGTAGAAACCGTACTCGGTAAAAACGACTACTTAATTGACATGCATATTTTCAATTGATTTTCGTTGGTCTTGCAAATTGAAACATATTTTAAAGAAACCTCAAACAAAGATATACAGTGGGTGATTCAACTCATGAACTGTGTCGAAATTTACGAATGATTACTAATCACTCCCAAACGGACACCAATCCGCGGACCCAATATCTATTTTCATAAAGCACAACTTTAAGAGAATTAAAGCCATATAATAAAGGCAGTTCTGTGTTGTTTGGAAAGGCAAATTTTTTAGAAAGACGTAAAATCCCGAAAATGTCAAAAATGGTTACAATTTAGAAGACTTCACTGTTAAATTTTCGAAACGCCTGCCCATAAAGAGTTGAGTGAATATAAAAGCACAAATAGAATAACAGATAAAAATGTTTTAGTGAATTCTACATTTAAATAACCTTTAAGCATTAGTGTAATACCAGATATGGCGCCTCGCCAACAGCCTACATTCTCGGTACAGATTCCAAAACAGTTTCCCGAGGATTCGTGCTATCCTTTAGTCTTTTTAATTAATTGAGATGCGGTTCAATAATAAAAGCATGATGTCGCTTGAGTTCGCCGACAGAGACATCATAGGAGCAAGAGTTTTCACAAGGTGACATGTTGCCGTTCCGATTAGGGCCAAATAACTTTAAATAGAATTTACATTGTAATCGTAAGTATACCATTTTCTGTTTATGAAAAGAACTTACTTTCCGTTCGTTCAGGATTATGTTGAGTTGTAGATCGGCTTTGAATTATCGACGAATATCTCACGATTTTCAGTGCTTTCATCCGATCACCCATGAGGACAGATTCTGTATTATGCGTCTGTTAAAACTTTCAAATTGGGCACTTTTTGGAAGCATTTACAGAAGTCGCGAGTGTTTGGACTTTCTTTTACATTTAGAACGTCACATTTGAAGACTCACCCCAACAGGAACCCTCATCGTCGAACAGAACTGACGTCTACAACGAAAGTCACAAACTAATATGCTTTCTCTAATAAATGACTTCTATAAGGTGTGCTTTGATACTGGATTCCGTTGACGCGTGTCTGAGTACTTTATTTTTTATGGAGGGAGGCCAAAAAATTGGCACTTTCGGCCGTTTTTTTCACTTTGCTATAAGATACTGATATCTTTCGACCGCAAACGCAAGAACACGCCTTTTGCTTCATATTGCGGCCATTTGAATTGTTTTAGCATAAAGGTAGACTCCGTTCTACGATTATGAATGCACGGCAGATTAGCTATCTACATTTATATTTTGTTGAAGATGTTAACATTTTGCTCGTTTCATTTCTGAATTAGTTATGTGCAGAAGCTAGACTGTACAACACGTAATATTGAATATGTTCAAAGCTGACAATAATAGTTCGGTGGTGGTTGCTCCTGTGAAAACACGCAAAACAATTTTAGTCCGTTTAAATGATTGCCTGTGTGCGTTATTACTGCACTTCAAGGCACAAAATCGCACAGATCTGCTGATCTGACTTCTATAGATCGACAAAATATCTGGTTTTCTTAAAATAACCTTTGATTGAGGAAGTTGATTACTACGGTTACCGTCGGACAAAAAATTAATTTTCAAGCCGGACAACCACTGTTTATTAAAAGTCCCTGGAGGAAATTACTTTCCTTCCAGGGAAAAACCCGTTCAGATGGGTAACCGAAGTCTAGCGCAGGTACTAGCATAGGAAATTGCCCGAGTATACTGCGACGTCCATTTTCGACCAAATTTATGAATACGTTGCTTTAAAAAATCACGTGGACACTATTTCTGCGTAAGATTAGGACATTTTCTAAAAGTAGCTGAGCGGGCAAGCAAGATGTGCAACGTCTAAAACGTCCTAAATTCTCACATCAGATTTCATGAGATAGGTCCGTACTGTACTTTCTTTCAGTCGTTTGATAAAGTAGGCCTTATCTCTATATTTTATGCTCGAAGAATGAGTAGAATAAGGTTTTGAAAAGGTTTTCTGATAGCCAAATAATTTGGAGCCTGCTCAGTTGTTGCACTAGCGCTTGGTGATTTCAGTCTACAACGTGCATGCGCTCCGCGTAAAGAAGGTCACATATTTCTATATGTCTTTAAAAAGATATCATATAGAGTCTTTAAAATTTTGTAGCGGATGAGGACTATGTTGTACATTTCACAAGGAGCAGTGGTAAACAGATCGGCACGATGATACATGAATGGATATTGTGTGGTCTTAAAAATCTCATAATTAGGAACTTTTTCAAAACCTTATTATAATCCCTCTTCGATCCTGAAATGGAACGATGAATTGATTCTCTATCGAACGTCTGGATCAAAACCTATTTTGGTTTGAGGTTTCTATAAAATATGTTTGAATTTTCAAGACTAACGAAAATCAATGGGAAACGTGCATGCCACTTAAGCAGTCGTTTTTTACCGAGTACGGTTTCTACAGGAGTTTGAAAAGTAGTGTATTCAAAAGCTGACATTCTGCCGAATTCGATATATTATAGGGTTATGCCGCAAAATAATCCGTATTAGAATCGCGCCTAAGTAGTCCTTTGTAGTCGAAAACGCATTTTTAAATTTCAGCCAACATTTCATGAGATGGTCAACTCAGTGTACACAGCGCGCGAAAAACGTCATTACCTCTTACCAAGACTTTCAGCGAATACTTTCTTTTCTATATAGGTCAACCCAAAGAACAACATCAACGAAACTGTGACATAGCAACCGTACAAATTTGTGCCAAAGTAGAATGGCTCTCTTGGGTGTTCAGCCAGTGCATATGCGTTAATGCAACATATCACAAATTCTCCCACATTATTTGGCCCGGGAAAACAGGCCTACTCTCCGCTCTATCCACTCACGCTTGTCCATTAATACACCAAAAAAGGGAATGCCATTAAATTCTCATAAGCTTCTGGATTGCTAATAGCGCCAAAATACATTTTGTACGGTGCATTCGGACACCGATGGCAGAGGCGACAGTAGTCGATACACGTTGTCGCACACCAGCCAGGTAGGCATCACATAGATGATTCGGTGGCATTCGCGAGATGAGAGAAGGTCGACATCCATTTCCTAGATTTTGTGGGAAAAATACGGCAGGGGATTTGTGATCATTGTCACTTTGAGGCACTTACCGGCCGTAGAGAATAGCACTGTGAGGTATTTATACTTTGCTGGACGTGCCTTCGCATAAAAACCCAGATTTCACACTAATGCTATGCATTTTTGATGTTATTTCGCTACTTACCGCACAGTAGAAGGCAAAATGCACATTTCTTGAAAAGGCTTATTAACTTGCCTGAGAATCAGAAACCCAACGGGAGTCCGTTTTCGGCGGTGACGACAAAGAAGTCGTCAGGAGTCCGAAGTCACTGACAGTAGTAAACAGCAGGTACTGAGAGGTTGGAGTTGATTGTACTGGACCCTGCGTCGAAGTAGGCTGTCAATGCGCCAGTTCGGGTGAATCATCTCAATGGCCTGAGTGTCAGAACATTGGAAGTGTTTCCACTGTTCATATTACGGGACATGCTTGTCCCGTCACGCCTTTACGCTGAACATGACATTCGCAGAAGGCCGATAATACTGAAGAAGGAATACCGACAAGGACAGGGAAGACTGGCTCGTTACTTGTAGTTTCGCAAAAAAAATTTACAATGGATTTTGAACTGAACACTCCTCAAGCCCATATGCTTTAGCTTTTATTAAGCACTATTTGTTCAAGGCATGCCTAAAACCTTCAACTAATTCGTCAGCAGGTTCAGTGTAATGCCTTCATTGTGTGGAGAAGATGGTGATGACGCCCAAGACGAGTCTGTTGATTCTGATTCTGCTGCTGATGATGACGATGATGGCGACGACGAGGATGATGATGGCGACGACGAGGATGATGATGATGATGATGATGATGGTGATGATGATGATGATGATGATGATGATGATGATGATGATGATGATGATGATGATGATGCGGAGGAGGAGGAGGAGGAGGAGGAGGAGGAGGGGAGGAGGAAGAGGAGGAGGAGGAGGAGAAGAAGAGGATCATCTGTCAGATAATATAAACTACTGCTGGAACATCGCATCTGAAATATCAGAATGTTATGATACTGAACGCGCTGAAGGCTGCAGTAATTAGTGGCTCTAACTCCTACGTCTCCATACCGTCGGCAAACTGGCACTTTCCACATTGCCGCAGGTATTAGATGGTGTGATTATCATCTCGTCGATCATGTCTGATCTGTTAATGATTAAGACTTTATCATCCGTTTTGGTACTTGACGTGATGATGACTAAACAATTTGGTTCATCCAAGCAGCCCCTGGAAGCAATGTCCACCGGCGAGCTCTTCGCGTGCATAATTTCTCTGCAGAGGGATATCCTATAGGAGAAAGGAACCTATTATTTGTCCGAAATTTCCCATTCCAGAGGAAGCAAAAAGGAGTAGCGTATGCAACGCTTTGCGTAGATAAGACAATAGGCGAGTCACAGGATGCTGTTCAGAAAAAGAATATGCGACTGCGGGGCAAAGATGTTTATTTGCCTTCTGTTACTGATTTTCGCTCGGACCCATCATAGAAGACAGTGGCAGAAAAGGGCGGTAGAGGCACATGGAGCGTATTATTTATAGGACGCAATGGCCCGGCAACCAAACGCCTACAATAATTAGCAACACTCGCGGCTATCGCTGGGGGTTGTAGTTGATGCGATGATGGCTTGCCAGTCTGCACCCGAGTCGTTAATACCTGTGATTTCATCATCGTTATTGATCCTTAGTTTAATGATTACTCAACCTCTTGGCTCATTGTGGCCAGAACTGTTGGTCATTCGCTCTCCACCCGCATAGCTAATTATTTTTGACCAGGCAAAATCGCAGCATAGTATAGGAGGGCGGAAGGTCATTGCGTTTGTTCGTTGAATGCGGACCGGAGAGCAACGACTCAGACAGTGACTGTCTCTAATAACGGGTGCGAGTGAGAATTCGAAATGTCAGGCCAATACACTTCTTGTTCCAGCGATCACAGCTCCTTCTACCGAGATATAACATTTGTAAAATGCCGCACCTAATACTATTGACCGTTCCGTCATTCATGATAGATATTCGGAGATAGCATTTGGGTAGGCGGATGATTGATTCGGGGGTGTTCTTGATGCACGGCAGTATCCAGCACCATTTGGGCCTAGTGTGGCTGAATTCTTCGTCTCGCCTTCGCAAGCAATGGTTGTCGATCTTGGATGGATAGCCATCTGTCCCGAGCACACTTTAATGATATTGCAGTTGATCAAGATCGTCATCCGATTTGTTGCTATGTCTCCCACCATGCCCTTTGGGCGTTCTTGCGCACCCGAGTTTGCGGCCGATTGAGTACTTGTTATTGATGCACAAAACGTTGTCGTATCTATCGTTTTCCTGAGCACTTGGACAAGATACCTTTGGGATATAGTCCGAAACATTAGGCGAATAAAAATGCTCATTCCAGTGATAGAAATTTCTTGTCGACTACTTACAGAGTGTGACCAATCTCATGCAATGTTGGCCGAAATTCTGAAATGCGTTTTCGATTGGGATGGGTTAAATAGGTGGATATGTAATACTGCTTGTCTAGCGGCATAATCCTATAACATACAAGACGCAGCAGGATGTTGACTATAGAATGCATTTTTATTCGACCTCCTGTAGAGACCGTATTCGGTAGAAAATAACTCTGTAGGTAGCATGGAATTTTCGCACTGATTTTCGTTAGTGTTATAAATTTAAATATATTTCATAAAAAAAACATCGACAAAATGCCTTTTACCCATTTGATAGAGAATCACGTCATTTTTTATTGCATTCTCGAAGAAAGAGTATAATTGAGTTTTGAAAAAGATGCTAATTATCAGATTTTTAGAGCCGTGCAATGTTCTTTCACACAGCATCGTACCTGCTCGTTTACCACCGCCCCTCATTAAAAGTACAGCATAGTCCGCATTTATTGCAAAATTTTGGGAACTGTATATGGTATCTTTTTAAAAGCATAGAAGAATATATGATTTCCCATAGACGGAGCGCATGCACCTTGTAAACTGAAATCGCTAAGCGTTAATGCGACGGCTGACTAGGGCCAAATTATTCGGGAATTAGAAAACTTTTTAAAACCTAATTATACTCCTTCTCTAAGTGCTCAGGAAAATGATATACACGACCACATTTTGCACAACACTAGCAACCAATCAATCGCCTACAACCGAAAAGTGCTCTTATTTAAAAACAAGTTTTGATTATGACGCAGTTTCTTGTGAAAATTATCCTATCACATTATGCACATATTCTTGAGGAGGTATGTCTGGTCTACACAAGTATAAAAAATCAACAGTAGAAAAACAAACCACTTAAGTTGTCACTGCCAGACTAACGTATTTCTTCATTTTACCTAGTAGATGCATAATCTATTATCGCCTTCCAGGTAAGTGAGACATGATTTTAGGTGATGTCCGACGTTTACCAGTTCTGCAGTTTTACTTATACGATACTCTCAAAGTAATTTTACATGAGTTTTGTCACATGTGACAGTCTGACCATCGCGCTTGATGTCCTCCGCGTTCACCACGGAGTGGGCGCGGCAACGGTGACTTACGCGTGAATTAGATCTTAGTGGGGCAGACTTTCGCGGCATCTGTCCCAGTCCGTCCTCGCCCACACACCAGGCTCCTATGACGGGACAATATCAAGGCGACCGGAGTTGGGTTCGGGCGCAGTGACTGACGAAACTATACGCCCCGTCTACGCGTGCCACACACGATCTGGTCTCCGTGAAACGTGTCAGGCTTTCATATAAGGCGGCTCAGAGTTCGCACGCATGACAGAGCCGTTAACGTCACATTAAAAGGGCGCCACTGAGCTTGACTCTCAGCCTACGAAATTCGCTCGTCCCTCGAGCCTAACCAGCAGCGCACAACATAGCCAGAATAACATTACTGACAAAGATACGGGAGACTGGAATGGCCATTTCTGGCCTATTAGACCTCGTCAACCGGTCATAGCCAACCCCAAAGAATGGAACACCTGAGGCTCGATCCCCAGAAACAGCCATCCCAGTCTTCCGTGTCTTTGTCGGTAATGGTATTCTGCCTGTATCATGCGCCGCTGTGCGGTTGCTGGTTGGGCTCGAGAGAGATCCCTAAGGCACACGAGGACGAGGGAATTCCGTAGAAAAGATAGGTGAACGTCACCCTCTAACATTGCATATTCCCGATCGCAACCGACAGGACGGCGCACTCGTGGCCCAGCGGCTAGGGGCGTTGGACTTCTAACCAACAGGTGGCGGGATCGAGACCAAGGTGTTGCATACCCCGGGATTGGGTATGACTGGCTGATGACGGCTAGCAAGCCAGAAATCACCATTCCAGTCTCTCTTATCTTTGTCGATAACGCTTTTGAGCCACCCTATATACAAACGCAGCACTGGCCACACGGACCAAGTTGCCATTCTTCCAAACCACGAGTTTTACTGTATCGCGATAGAACCAAGCGCGTCAGATATATTATTGTGGGTAATTCAGCGGTTTGCCGTGGGGAGAGACTCCCTAGCGTTGGCCTCACTTTCTCCCCTCTTTCTACTGTCCAAGTCTGTCAACCAACTGATAATGGATTTGGGAGCAGTATGTGACAAAGCTAGAAAGCCTGTCTACATGTGTCGCACACGACTTGATCACCTTTAATGAATTAGGATATATCAGTAAACGCGCTTCCTACTTACGTCGGATGTCCATATTCTGACAAGTGACCTTTAATCGACGAGGCTGATCACATGCCTGCTGTCGGGAGGAGGTATGATTACTGCGGAGTGTAGCGCGTGGTGAGGAGCGGATTCATACACAGTCTGGTGATAGATATGTGGGCGAGTAAGGCGGGTTGTTGTGAAGGGGTCTGGAGCGCGGTTCTGTCTAGCATTTGCCTGAGGCGCGTGTGCCCGAATAAGCTCGTGCGACGAGCGAATGTCGTCAGGCAGTGTGGGCAGCTAGTACTAATTTGCCGATCTCCGTGCAATAGATTCACAGGCTACTGGCCGGGCCAGTGCGTGATGTAAAGATGCGAGCGCGATGGGGACAGGTTGGGATTAATCTCGCATTGCTGGTGGCAGAGCCAATAGTGGTGATGGGTAGCATCACATGAGTAAGCTCATGGGCATTTGTGAGATGAGAGAAAGTCGGCATTCATTTCCTAGGTGTCGTGCGATAAATACGTCAGGGATTTGTGATTATTGTCTCTTCGAGGCGCTTACAGACCGGCTAGTATTGTTTTTACGTGAGGTCCCGCGGGTCTCCTTCGTTGTCTTAGCAGCAACTATTCGGTTAACTTCGAAGATGGCTGCCCCAATCTTTGAGGCAGTGTGCCATGCCTGCTTATCTTGAGCGAAGTTCTCTCCGGTTGCCAGGTTGGTTTGCAGGTGTGTGAGTAAGGTATTCAAGGACTCCTCATAGCGACGCATTTGTTCGCTTTGTCTCCCACCATCCGCAGATATGTTAACGTAGAATAGACGCTTGGCAGACGCTCGTCGTCCATTCACACGAAGTGGCCGCACCATCGCAGCTACACCTACCTCAGTACGATGTGAATACTGAGGACGCCGGTTTTTCCCAGGATCTCAATGTTTGCAATCCCTTCCTGCCACTTCATCTCCAGCATTCTCGGAGGTAGATGACTTAAAGGTGGTTGGGGCTTTTTCCTTGATCTGCATAAATGGTTCACTTTTCCGCCCTGTAAAAGAGAGTTTTTAGGAATAACAGCCCCCGTACATCTTCAAGTTGTGTGTTGAGTGAAATGTTCCGATGGTTCCAGTTGGAGTGTTTTGACTGGCAGAAGGCCTAGCTGGATTTGGATACCCATCACACAATGATGTGTCTCGAAATTATAATTTCAAGTATGCAATATTCTGGACTGCCGTTTGGTGACTCTCACTGACAGTAATCAGCTTTAGGCACCGGTTGGTGCAGTATCACC